AATTCGATAAGTTCCTCAATCTTTTCAAATCTGTTTACCACTGCCTTTTGTAAAGTCTGGGCCTCCTGTCCAGTATTCTGCTCTAATGCCTTCATTGAGGATTCTAAGGTATGAATTCTGTCCAGTAGCGATAATGTCTCATCCTTGGACATAATCTTCATGGCATTCATATTACCTTCCTGTAGAGACATACTATCATTCAATCTATCATATCCCTTCAACAGAGTCTGATTAATACATTCAACAGAGAAAATTCTCTCAAATAATGTTTCAGCACCCAATGTCATAGACCGGGTTTTATGTGCCAAATCAGCTGTTTCCTTCTCCAGAGTGCTGAATCTCTCTGTAAATAAATTACCATCAGACCAAAGATTTCTCAGTTGACTGAGTCCTGTTAAGCAAAGACCTGGTATCATCCTTCAGAAGTGCAATCTCTTTTTCTAAAAGTGTGTTATTAGTCTGTCCCATGTCTAAAAGCACCTCATTCAACTGAGATTTGGTATTCAAAGTGTTTGTTCTCTTTTAGAGGTATGACCTCCTCTTTGAGAAACTTATTTCCAGTCTGTATCATGTTTAAAAGTACCTCATCTGACTGAAAATTGTTAGTTAAGATGTGTCCTTCTTTAGATTTCCAACTTCTTTTCTAAGAAGCCTGGATTCAGTCTGTAAAGACTGTACCATTTTCCCATTATCAAACCACATTTTTAAGAAAACAAAAGTAAACCCTAGAAATGAGAATAGCAATGTAGGAGGGACATCATGTGCATCTTGTAAGACTTCACACATGGTGTAAGTGAAAAGGCTATCGTAATCTTGGACGGTTAGATTGTCTGACATATTGCCCGTTTAAATCAGTAAGTCTCACCTGTGGTTTAATCGGGTGGAATAAGTGCAATAACCGTTGCCTGCCAGTAGGTGTCACAGTGCATTTGAATTCACATGCTCAGATTAAATCTGAATTTAGCTAGAGTACTGAAAAATACACTCAATTCCACTGGACTGAGCTCCCAAAGTCCCAATGAGGAGCAGAAGGAGGGAGAACATGAGCAAAGAAGTCGGGACCACGAGGGATGCACCCACCCACTGAGACAGTGGAGCTGATCTATTGAGAGCTCACCAAGACCAGCTGGACTGTGACTGAAAAAGCATGGGATAAAACTGGACTCTCTGAACATGGCGAACTATGAGGGCTGATGAGACGCAAAGGCCAATGGCACGGGGGTTTGATCCTACGTAATGTGATGGCTTTGTGGGAGCCCAGCCAGTTTGGATGTTCACCTTCCTAGATATGGACGGAGGTGGGAGGTCCTAGGTCTTACCACAGGGCAGAAAACCCTGACTGCTCTTTGGACTGGAGAGGGAGGGGGAAAGGAGTGGGGGGATGGGGAGAAGGGTGGGAGGAGGGGGCGTAGGGGGGAGGAGGGGGAGGGAAATGGGAGGCTGGGAGGAGGTGGAAACTTGTTTTTTTTTTCTCCTTTTCTCAATAAAAAAAAAAGAAAAGAAAAATACACTCAAAAAAGAAATGTTTTAGTATAAATCACAGGCCGTGAGCTCTGTGAAGGTCTTTGGCTGTTCAATAGCCAGACTAGACAGGTCTGCCACTCCAGCGGTGGCTGAACCCAAAACCTGCAGTGCAGGGTGGTGGCAGCATGGCTGTGGCTGGGCTCGCACACTAGATGCAGCAGGGTCTGTGGCTGCAGAAGTGCTCCGGGAAAGTGCACGGGAATGGCCTTTGCCCACGGGGATTGATGTGGAGCTGGGCTGGGTGCGTGTGCTGGGCAGTGAGGGCAAGCTAGCAGTGGCAGAGGGTGTGGAGGGAAACCAAGGAGGGAGTGTTTGGGGACATGGCAGAGGGCACGTGAGTGGTGGCATAGTGTGCCTAGGGATGCCGAGGGGTGAGTGTGTGGGGATGATGTTATGGGGCTCAGAGTTGTGTGCTGAGCTTGGACAGTCTATGCCCAAATAAACATGGTGTGACCACGGCTGGCCAGAGCTGCCAGAGGTTCTATTGGCCCCATGTTGGGTGCCAGGTGTTGCAAATTAGCTCATCTGGGAAATAACCAGGAGAGCTTAAGGATAACAATTATATTTTTAATGGTTATAATGGGAAACTCATGCTACAGAATGGGAAGTTCGAATTCCTCTGTGTCCATGGGAATTGGGCAAAAAGAGCACACACCTTGTCAGTCCCAGTTTTCTTCCTGGATCCCAGGTAGCCACGCCTTAGCTAGGCTTAGTTGGTTACCAGAGCTTCCCCATAGATACTCAAGACAATGGTATGTGTTCAGATGTTACTGGGTTCCCAGGCTACGCGGACCAGAACAAGGAGAAAGGAAAGAAGTCCGCGTGTGACCTGGGACTCAAGCCAATCTCTATTGCTCATGATGCTCTGTGTCCTTCAAGTAGGCCTCTATCCCAAAGAGTGTGGGACCAGTGTACATTTGCCAAACTTTAGGGATTTTCAGTAGAGAGGAAATCCATATTTTTGTATTTTTCACCATTCCGTTTGTACAGAAACATTTCTTTTATTAAAGCTCTATTGAAGTTGAATTGTTTGATGTGCCCTGTGCTGTGCATAATTAAAGAACAAAATATGGTAGGTTTTAGGAGCTCATCACTGTAGTCACAGTGTTGAGCGTCTCCTTTGCTCCTAATGTTCCTTCCTCCCACTTTATAGCTCTTGTTTTATTATTTTAATTAATTTATTAATTTAAAGATATACTAGTGCTCTGTGTGCATGTACACCTGCATACCAGAAGAGGGCATCAGATTCCGTTAAAGATGGCTATGTGTCACCAAGAGGTTACTGGGAATTGAACTCAGACCTTCTGGAAAATCAGCCAGTGCTCTTATTCCCTGAGCCATCTCTCCAGCCCCTTCTCCCCCTATATGATCACTCTCTCCTCACTGCCCATCCTAGTGTTCACTGATTGTATTTACTCAGGTGTCGCTCTTCACCTACATTGTCTAAGACAGGCCACTGTGACGGTCCGGATTTCAGAGAGACTTCTGGGTATTCGTCTATCTCTTCTCAGCTCTTGACAACAGCACTGGAATGATGGATGTATGCTGCCACATCTGGCCATGGATGGGTTCTGGGATTTGAACTCATATCCCCAGTAAAGCACAGAAGCACTCATTGAACCTTCTTCCCGGCCTTCTCTGCTCCTTAGTTGTGCATCTATTCAACTCTTTCCTCATTTGAGTTTTTGGTTTATTATTAATTTTTGATATTAGATTGGAGGCAGGGTCTCTCTATATAGCCATCACTGTCCTGGAACTTTCTATGTAGATCAGGCTATGACAAATGATGACCTTTCTTGCAGACCAGAAGAGTCTCCCCAGTCGTCTTCTGAGTCAATGCACTGTTATAGACTGACCTCTAAGGAGCCAGCTGCCCTGAGATAAAGCCTAGAGGCAAAATATGAAGTGAGTAGCTGTGCACCTAGTTTCTAGCCTGACAGCCTAGGGAAGACTGTGGCTGCTTCCTTGCTCTTTACCCTCAGACAACTTCTGTCTTACAGTCTCACAAAGCTGCACTGAGCTTTTCTTGGTGAGAGCCAATGCTTTTAATCCCAGCACTTAGGAGGCAGACATGGGTGGATGTCTGTGAGTTTGAGGCCAGCCTAGTCTACATAGCAACAAAAAAGGTTACAATGGCTCTCCCTGATACCTAGTCAGTCTGTGGCAGCCTCCCTGCTCTGAGTGTCTACCCAAGTCCTCTCTTTCTTCTAGATCTGAGGACATCACATGACACATGTACAACAATAGACACGGGAACCAGAGCAGAACTGCGGGTGTTTATTGAACCAGTTTAACAGACTGAGCAAGGAAGAGACAGGTGTCTGGATGCCAGCTTCAGGATGGAAAGTGGACTGGGCAGCAAGGTGTCTCTCAGATCAGTCATCATTTTCTAAGCAAGTTAACTTTGGAAAGGATTGCCATCAATTTGTCTATGGTGTCTTCGGTATAATATTCTCTACATTCTGGGCTGAAGACCACGGTTTTCTGGAAAACCCAAAGAAAGAAAGGTGCAGAAGTGGTTACAGGCAAGATGCAAAACCCCAGCAGAGCTCTCTAGTCACCCATGATGAGGCTGCTCATTCTGCACAGGGAAGAAAATTCCCTGCAGTGATTCAGGGCTCCAGCAACAGCCTCTGCCCCAGGGAGCTGCAGCTCCTCCACAGCTGTCAGGAGGACTCTGAAAAGCCACCCTAGCCAGGCAGGGATGAAGGGAGAAGGTCCCTAAGGCATAACGGGGGCTAGGTCTGGAGAGGGGACAAGATGGCTGAGTTCTAGCTTTGATGATGTCTCGTACCTGAGGACATCTGTCAGCACATTGGCTGTGTGGTCATGTTAGAAATACGTCCCTGTGTGGATGTGCTGGAAGACATTCCTTCTTGGAGAGTGCAGTGGTTTTGCAGGACCTGACACCCAAACTAAAAGTACTTTGGAAACAGAGAGTGAGGAATGCAATATCCTAAACATGCATCTCTGTAATCCAGCTATGCTTAAATAAGACACTAAGAGAGACCAGGAGCATCTGGGGTGAGGAGCTGCAGGCACTCTCTGAGGTGGTGGGTGTGGCATCTAAGCCATTGAGGGAGGTTCTGGCTGTGGCTCTGAGGAAGCCGGTGGACGGGGGGCTCCATCTGAGACAAGAGAGAAGAGTTAAGGGAGGCTCCAGAGAAGGTGAGCCTGGCCAGTAGACAGGAGTTTCAGGCACCTTAGAGTAGAGTTGAGGGTGTCCTCCCTGTGCAGATCCACACCAAGGACTCTCCTGTGCCCCTGCCCTGCTGTGGTGAGAACGCAGTGGTCACCCATCGTTGGGGAGCGCTCTGCAGGACCTTGCATAGACAGACTGGATGTGGACCAGCATGCTGCATGGACATTTGCTAGGGTGGGCAAGGGTTGAGTGCTCTGGTGTCGATCCCCTGACACACGTGACTAGCTGACCACATCATTGTACACAGCATTCTACCATATGGTGCATGGAGCCATCAGGATAAGGAGGACGTTACCAAGAATTTGGTTTTCAGGATTTTGCCTTCCACTCCTGAATCATTCAAGCAATCCATGAATTTTTCAACAGTCTCCCTTTCCCCATCAGTAGGGGCAAACTGGTCAAGGACAGCATTCAGTATTATCTTGTTTCCAATGGAGGCTGCAGCATAGAGTTCAAAGAACGGAATGCATGCGTCCGCTGCAAACACAGAGAGAAGAGCATCATTAAGGAGCCCCAGGCTGGCAGAAGTGGAGGCTCAGGGTTTCTCGACACTTCTACAAATGTCTTAAGTGAACTGACACAGTCCTGCCCTCCCAAAGGCTGCTGCCTCCCAGATACAGCACACAGTTTCCATAGACACACACACAGCAGAAGGGGCATGTATGAAAGTACCTCCCTGCACATCTGACCTTCACATAAATCCCACACATGACTCACCTTCAGCTGTACATGCAGCTAAGGGCCGATCATCACCACCTCACCTCGGTCTCCCCATTCCACCCATCCTAACTGTCACAATCCTGAACAGAGAGCATCAAGGGTCTTCTGCAGGACTCCTGGCTAGTGACCTCCCGGGGACCCCTAGATCTGTAAACAGATCCATAAGGAAGGGAGGTGGAGTGAACAAGGGTCAGAAAGGCCATCTGTTCCCATTCTCACTTGTCTGGAAGCCCAACTCCCCGGTCACCAGCAAGGCCAGCAGAAGCAGCGTCCCCTTCATGGTGTAGGATGCTAAATGCTCTCTCTACTCAGAACAGAACCTGCTACCTTATAAACTGTTGTCTCCCTGAGCCCAGTCCTGCTTTACCCCATCCCACCCCTACCACTAATGTGCCTCCGAGCAGTTCCAAATGCCTTTGGGCAAGAACCTGGCACCTATGGATCCCCTTCCCACTTGCATGGGGGAGTGAGCTTAGGAGCCCCTCCCACTCTGAAGAACCAATGGCTGGAGACATCCTGTGTGATCACTTTCTGTACAAAATTGGCTGTACCTTTGCCAGAAGATGGTTAGAGCTGACCTTTCCAAGCAGCCATGTGCTGAGCCAAATGCCCTATTTCCTGGCTCAACTGTCACTTCTGCTTCCTCTCCTGGCTCCAAGCATGTCCTGCTCAAGCTTGGAGGTGGAAAACACAGTGGTCAAAGATGGTTTTTGTCCCTGTAGGCAGCCAACAGCCCAGAACACTGCATCTGTTCAAGACCTGAGCAAAAGTGTGTGTATCTGAGGGGACATATTGGTTACACTTTGACATCTTAGCTGCTACAACCTTTGGTCTAGACTTCTGAGAATATGGGGGAACCACCTGGGGCTTCTAGTTATCCCCAGCCTGCATTGTCCCAGTGTGTTTGGTCATTGTGTGGATCCACCAGGGCCAGTTATGAATTTGTTCTACAACTGCATCATGCTGCAAAATCCCCGCCCCTCCAGGGGAGCTCATCCCTGTCACCCTGCTCTTGACTGTCTCACGCCCACCAGTAATCAGGCCTCAAAGAGGTCTAAACAGTAGAATCAATGTAGTTACAGCAGCTCACAATAGAGGGAGGGAGTCATGCCTGTACCATGAAGTCTCTGTTGTCCACAGCCCCATAGGCCACTGTGGACGGGCCATCTATAAACTAGAGCGCTCCACTGTCCCCAGGCAGTGCTCTTTCTGTGGACTCTCTCAAGTTCAATTCAATCTACTACCCTCAGAATGACGTTTGTTGCACAAATGACATTGTCAGTTGGGCATTGTGTTAATCATTCCTGGAAGCAGGAGGCTTACTGTGTGTGATTGCTAATCCTGATGGTCATCATGACTGGATTTAGAATTACCATGGAAACAAAGCTGTGTCTGTGAGAATATTGAGGCTAGAACAATTAATGTCTGACTTTGTGTGGGCAGCGTGGACTAGGGTCATAGACAGAGTGGAAAGGAGAAAGCAAGCTGGACATTCATGTCTCTCTACTTTCTGACTGAAGATGTGATCAACCACGTTGAGTTCCTGCACCATGCCTGCCCCACTTTCTTGGACTGTTTCCATGCAAACTGTAAGCAGAAAGCTGCTTCTTATGCTGGTTTTGTCACTAGCTCACTAACACAGTAGTAGAGTGTTTCTTAGCACATACAAAGCCCTGAGGTTAATCCACTGCCCCCACACAAAAAGGGAGTGGCTAAGGAGATGGCTCAGTGGACAAGTGCTCATTATGCAAGCCTAAGGATGTGAGTTCAGATCCCCAGGACGCTGTAAAGAGCTGAGTGTGGTGGCTCCACCAATGCCACGGGAGCTCCAGGTTCAATAACAGACCTCGTCTCAAACAGTAGGGTGGGAGGCAGTTGAGATAGCTCAGTGATTAAAGTGCTTGCTGCTAAGCCTGCTAACCTGGGTTCAAATCCCAGAACCCACATGGTGAAGTTTTGGCCAGCCTAGTCTACAAATCAAGTTCCAGGGCCATCAGGGCTATATCCAGAAACCCTGTCTTGAAAATAAACAAATATTTAAATAAATAAATAAATATCATTAATATGCTGAAATACCATAACCAAAACAGTTCCTATTAATTAGTAGTAATGCAATTAATGATAGTAATTTAATTAATAATTAATTACTATTATATGATAAAACATTATGACCAAAAGCAAAATAAGAAGGAAAGTGTTTCAATTTCTTTGGCTTATACTTCTATATTGCTATTCATCATCGAAGGAAATCAGCACAGGAGCTCAAGCAAGGCAGGAGCCTGGAGGTTAAGCTGGGGCAGAGGCCCTGGAGGAGAGCTGCTTACTGGTTTGTTTCCCATGGTTTGCTCAACCTGCTTTCTTAGAGAACTCAGGGCCACCGGCTCAGTGATGGCCCAACTCACAATGGCCTGTCCATCCCCCATTAATCAGTAATCAAGAAAATGCCTGGCCAGCTGGTAGTGGTGCCCACATTTAATCCAAGCCCTTGGAAGGTCTATCTTTGAGCTCGAGGCCAGTGTGGTATAGAGACTGAGTTTCAGGACAACCTGGACTACACAGGGAAACCCTGTCTGGGTAGGTGGCAGGGAGAGAAAAAGCCTTACAAGTTCAAACTTATGGAGTCACCTTGTTTTGTTTTGTTTTGTTTTGTTTTTTCAAGGCAGGAATTCTCTATGTAGCCTTGGCCAGCATTGCAGCTCTTTTAAATTGAGGTTACCTCATTTCTGATGACTTTAACCTGTGTCAAGTTGACATAAAACTAGCCAGCATACAATGAAACCGACACACGTGAACATGTGTGTGTATGCACAGAGACACACAAACACACATGCACACAAGTAGGAAAATACAAGGGGATGAGAAAACAATAGAGATATCTGGTAAGAGAATATTAACGGTTGTAGTGAACAGTTCAAGTCACTGGGAAATTTTTACATGTCTTGTGTCCTCTGACATGTGGGATCAAGGATCTTAACCTCTGTGACATCTACAAAAAGCCTGATGCCAGCTCTCACAGGTAGCAGGGAGCTACAGGTGTCACCCTGTAGTAATAAGGGCGGCGGGGCTGCGTCCCCAAAACCCCAGCCCCCTGCTCGGCTAGCTTAGCTTACACCCCGAAATAACAACACACAAACTGTATTCATTTAAACACTGTTTGGCCCATTCTCTTCTAGGCTAATTCTCACATATTAATTTAGCCCATTTCTAATCATCTGTGTATGGCACCCCAAGGTGCGCTTACCAGGAAGATTCTAGCCTATGTCCATCCTGGGTCGGAGCTTCATCCCGGGAGCAGCGGGGCATGGCGTCTCTCTCCGGCGTCTGCTCCAGAGAGGAGAGCTGTGAGTCTCTGAGCTCACTTCCCCTTCCTCCCAGCATTTTGTTCTGTTTACTCCTCCCACCTATCCTCTAACGAATAAAATGGGCCAGGGCAGTGCCTTTATTAGCCAATGACCTTCCTCCATCATCACCCAGCAGCAGACACATCTTAGCCACAGACCGCCCTGGTCTCCATTCCTAATACTTCCTAGAGTGAGAAGGCCTCAGCTGGGCATATTGTGCAGGTCTCAGCAGCCTTCAGGACCTGCGAGGACCACAGGACAGAGTGGACAGCTCATGGGTGGGTCTTCGTGCTAGCAACCTCTTTTCCAAAATGGTCACTGGATGCAAATCCAATTTGGCTCAGCTAACCAGTAAGTCAGAAGGCTCATGGTTCTCTGAGTCTTTGGTAAATTTCATCTATCACCGCTCATGGAGACAAATTCACAGCCAAAAGTCTTTGACAACAAACTACTTACATCTGAATTACCATGACATTTAGAATCTTTACATTCATAAATTAATACCAGCCAAATTTCATAAGCACTTACATAATGTGAACAGGGAAGTGGAGCCAGAGGATTCTCAGTTTGAGGTCAGCCTGGGCTATGTGGGAAGATAGTGTTTGTTTAAACTTTTAAGAAAGGTCTTGTATACAGACTTGAGGGACACAAGCTAGCCCTTCGACCCATCTACCCAGCATCTGTGGAGACCTCCCATGTGCTGTCCCTGGGATAGAGTGGCACATGCATTGCTCTCTTGAGCCCTTAGACATCTAAGGGACACCAAAATCAGACAATGCAAGGGGACTTAGGGAAAAGACAACAGGGTTTAGAGCCCAGTGCTCTGGTGGAGGCTTGGTGTGCTTTTAGATAAGAGGGGTCCAGGTGCACTGAAGTGTATAAGCCATGTTCCGTTGCTATGACAAAACACCCAGGATAGGTACATGGGAAAGAAGTTAACTTGGTTCATGGTCTGCAGTCTTGAAAGTCCAAGACAGAGCAGCCACATCCACCCACTGCCTTGCCCTGTCTGAGCTCCTGGTGCAGAGCAGAAGGGCAGCGAGGGGTGGGGGAGGTGGGGCTGGCAGAAGACAGTAGGAGACCAGAGGCTGCACATGCTTTACAGCCACACACCATGAACTGCCTCTCACCTGCCACTCTGGGACCAGGGCGCAAGGTGGGGTTTGGTGTGGACTGTCCATGTGGACACCATAGCAGGCTGTCCCTCTGATTTGGTGTTTTGGATGCAGTGTGGGGAATGAAGCATCGAATCTCCCAGCCAGGTGAAGGGCAAGCACATCAGACATGAGGACAGAGCATTTGGAGGCCGGGTTCTCCCTGGGGTCATGCTGATGGGGAAGTGGTGCCGTACCTGGTACAGAGATGCTCTGGATGACAAACAGGCCAGGGTAATGGAGTTCTGGTTTCCAGGCACAGAGTGGTCAGGGGACTGGCAGAGTCCAGAGAAATGAGGGGAAGACTGGGGCTTCCCACATGGAATCCCCGTTTGCTTGTGGGAGGCTGAGGCAGGTGTGTCCCGAGTTAACTGTCCGGGATCCCTCTGCTCACAAAGGTAGAAATGGGTGCAGGAAGGGGCACTCTCCAGCTGCTGCATTGGGCAGCTTTCATTGCCCTCCATGTGTCCCAGCAGGAGCAGAAGCAGCTGGCAGGTGGGAGCAGCAGCAGGAGGAACCCACTAGTGAACAGGCCTCACACCAGCATTGGACCCAGAGCCTCATGGGTAGGAAGTCAGACCTCCTTGGCACTCAGCAGTGCTGTAGCTCTTGGCCCTGGTGAGGCTCTTGTGTCTAAAGACACCACAGCTCCCTGGACCTCTTTGTCAAACAGGTCCTGAAGTTTCTGTCCTGTGGGTCTGTCCCCTTTGATCCTTCCTCAGACTCTGCTCTCTGCACTCTTGATGTGACCTTTCCTTTCCTGCCCTGTCCCTGTCCAATGCTTCAGCCTGCACACATCAAGCTGCTTGCCTCCTGACCACTCAATTGTCATTCTCCTGCCTCAGACATTGCTCCTCTGCCTCCTGCCTCCTTCTCCATTGCTTTCACTGTCTGTTCAGCCCACACTCCTGAAAGTAGGGCAGGCAAAAGGCAGAATCCTCTCATGAGGCCTACAATGTCAGTCCCGGGGAGAGAGTGCGAGCATGTCTCCCAGGACAGGGCATGGGTCTGAGCTGCCCCCCTGTTGAAATACGGAGCGGTGGGCTGTGTCCCGCCACCCGGCTAGCTTTACCCGAAATAATTACACGGAAACTGTATTCTTTTAAACACTGCCTGACCCATTAGTTTCAGTTTCTTATTGGCTAGCTTTTACATATTGATCTAACCCATTTCTATTAATCTGTGTAGCCCACGAGCTGGCTTACCAGGAATGATCTTAACCTGCATCTGTCTGGAGTGGGAGAATCATGGCGACTCCCTGACTCAGCTTCTTTCTCCCAGCATTCCGTTCTGTTTACTCCGCCTACCTAAGGGTTGGCCTATCAAATGGGTCTAGGCAGTTTCTTTATTAATAAGAAATCACTCCCACATCATTTCCCCTTTTTCTGTTTAGACAAAAAAGAAAGGCTTTAACTTTAACATAGTAAAATTACATATAGCAAAACAGTTATCAAGCAAGAATTACAGTTACAATATTTATATCTATTTTATCTTTTATCATAACTAAGGAAAACTATAACTATCTATTCATTCTTCAACTCCATCAAAGACTCCAGAAGGATATAATACTACCTAAGTAAACAAGAAATAAGAAAACTCTAGAAATGACAGAGACATCTCGCTGCCTGGATAGTCACCCAAAGTTCTTTTGTATGGTTGGGGAATCCATCTTCAGCCTTCAGGCCCATAGTATCCAGCAGACATTTCCATGAAGCAGGAAATTTCAAAGACAGTTCAGTCACTATCTGCTGTGTCCTGCAGAATGTCTCGCAGACTCTTTCATGAGTCATGAACCCCAAAAGACCTTAGGCAAGTTCAGCAGTCCTCTCTCTGCGGGTTCTCTGTGTCCATTTAATGCAACAGTCCAGGCAAGAGCAGTTTCTTGCCCAAATGGCTATCAAACTCCATAAGGATCCTCTTCGATGCCCATCTTCCTCTCGAAGTAGATTGGTGCTGCCAGGAGCAGACGTGTCTCATTGTCATGAAAAGTCCTAAGTTATTAAAATATTTTAAATGCCATATTCTGTAGCCTTTGAGAGATATGAAGAATGCCTATCTGAAATATATCTCTATATATCTAGAAAATCTAAGTAACATGACTACAAACTTGACTATTATGATTATCCATCAACAACCTATATTTCCTAATTATACATTACATTTTAAAAATGAACTACACAATCACACCTTATTCAAGATCAAAAATACATATACATATAACAAAATTGACCTTAAAATCCATACCAATGCAAATTATTCATACCTATATCATATCCCCCTTTAAATGTAAAAGAACATTTATAAACAATATTTTGGGAACATGGGCGCAGTTTTTTCTCTCCAAACTGCTTCCTGCTGAATGGGGGCGTCGTTAATTAGGTCTTTCATGGTATAACCTGTGTGCTAGTTTCATCTCAGTCTGCAGTTGAGCGAAGCAATTTTCTGAAGATGTTCACAACAACCTTTCAGGAGGGCGTGGTCTATCATACCAAATTGTAATAGAAGAAATCCACAGGGTCTGGTCCTCTGTGAAAACAAAAGAAGACCCTCTCCAAAGCATCATATTCTTAAACCCAAATTTTGAAATCGTAATACCTTTATATCCATTCTGGTTTAGCTTGGCAGCCCATGTAATGAAATGTCTGTCTGTACTTAGCTCCTTTACAGTCAAAAATTTTAAAGAAAACAGAATGTACATAATCCAGACTCTCTGTGAATTTTCCATTTTTACGTGGCTTATTTTTCTTTATTTATTTTAATCTCTTAACTATCTGTACTCTGTCTCTTTAAAGACTTTACCCTTTTTTTAAGACATTTACTTTATTCTCTATATTCTTATTCTTCTCTCTCTCAAGCCTATGTACATTCATCCAACACTGTGATCCACTGAGGTCTGTTATGTCTGAATCTGTTTTATTGTGAATCTGTAATATTTTTACTATCCAGGAGCATTTCTTAAAATGTTAAGCACTTCTTAAAAACTTAAGTTGCACCATGTACAGGTAATACGGTACCACCTGTGTCCTGCCCAGTCTAAACCTTAACTGTGCTGTTATTATGGTAATTACGGTAGTTCCTGCCAACCAGCACAGTTCAGCAAGGAGCAGCCGCTCCTGCCTCAGATCCATTTGGTGCCCCTGAGCTGTGCACAGTTTCAGGCACACAGCAAGTCCTCATTGGAGCCGCACTCAGCAGTTTAATTTTGAGACTGAGCATGCAGCACAGAAACTCTTTTTATCCAAGTTACAACCAAATCTGACACGCAGAGCAGTGCGCAGTCTGAAAACACGTCTCTTCCACCATGCTCTTCCGCCTGCCTAAGCCTGATTCTGCCATCTGCCCAGGTGCAGGCGGGGAGCGCTGAGAGCAGTCTCCTTCCGATCCCAAGCGGGAACACAAACATCCAGTCCCATAAAATCCATTGAAATGCTTTAAAGCCAGAGTTTGCACTGGCGGCACAGTCCCAAGAAGCCGCACTTTAAAATGATGCAGCTTTTTTTTTTTTTGCTGCTGTTGCCGAATCAGGAAATCTCTCTACAGCACGCCACCAACAAACAGCAAAAATCTGTGTTAAAGTCTCTCTCCCTTATTTTTAAGCCTTCTCAGGTTTTTAAGTGGATTTAGTCCATCACGTCGGGCGCCACTCTGTTGAAATACGAAGCGGTGGGCTGTGTCCTGCCACCCGGCTAGCTTTACCCGAAATAATTACACGGAAACTGTATTCTTTTAAACACTGCCTGACCCATTAGTTTCAGTTTCTTATTGGCTAGCTTTTACATATTGATCTAACCCATTTCTATTAATCTGTGTAGCCCACGAGCTGGCTTACCAGGAATGATCTTAACCTTCATCTGTCTGGAGTGGGAGAATCATGGCGACTCCCTGACTCAGCTTCTTTCTCCCAGCATTCCGTTCTGTTTACTCCGCCTACCTAAGGGTTGGCCTATCAAATGGGTCTAGGCAGTTTCTTTATTAATAAGAAATCACTCCCACATCACCCCCCTCCATAGGCCAGAGGGGCACTGGAGCCTACCACAGCCTGCCTCTTAGCAGCCCCCTCTGCTGGGCCTCTCGGTGGGGGAAGGAAAGGTGCTGCCCCTCTGGCTCGGGTACAAATGGTTGAAGGGCCATCGAGAATTCTGTGATGGAGAAACTCTGCTAGACACCCTGAACCAGCCAGACAGAGGCTGTGTCTTCAAAATCTGGGGCAACCAGCTGAGATTGCCCTCTTGTTTTCCTAAGAAATCTATGGAGTATTTGGAATGGCCAGTGCTGGCATCAAGAGGCAGGTGAGTCTATGTGATTTCGAGGCCAGCCTGGTCTGGATAGTAAATTCCAGGACAACTAGGCTTGTGTAGAAACACCCTATATCAAAACAAAACAAAACAGCAAACCACGAAAAGATGGAGTTAAAGATGATTCCGAAAGTAGGAAGACATCAGGGTTAGATTCAGCTTCAATGGAGCCATGAAGCAAGTGAAAGATGGGGGCAGGGACAGAAACAGTCAGAGCAGGGTCCCCAAGTGGTCAGATGTCTGGTCTACCCTAGACACTGACTACTAGGGAGGCTTTTAATAACCGTTGAGTTCTCTGGTGTGACAGGGTGACAGAGAGCTCACGCTGTAGGACCTGGCCCTCGTCCTGCTCATGACTTCCTGGGTCTTCACATGACATGTGACCTTAAGTAGAACACTAAGAAGGGGGCCAGACTGACCCTGGGCCCTTTGTTGACCAGGATCTAACTCTCTTGCCAAAACACACATCTCCCCCTGACACAGCCCCAGGGAGGTTCAAGCAGGGTTCCTGGAGGGGCCTGGAGAGCTCAGACCCAGCCCCTCCCTGCCCCCTGAGAAGAACAGGGCAGTTACAAAAAGGGCCCAAACTGGGTAGGAGCACCTGCCGCCATTACCATGAAGCTCACTGGTGCTCTCCTGTTGCTTGGGGCTGCCCTGCTCCTGACCTCAGGGGTAAGTGGGTTCTAGGGTGTGGTTGACCTCGGTGAATTGGGTACTGGGATGTGGGTCACCTCGTGGAAGTGGGTACTAGGATGTGGGTGACTTCAGGGGGGAGATGGTACTAGAGTTTGGTGTCAGGGATGCGGGGACTCCAGGGCTCTCACAGCCTCACTCCCCAGGAAGGACATCTGTGTTCTGATGTAAGGCTTTCAATGGAGAATCACCTTTTCTTTGTATTCTAGATTGTGGCCTTTGCCCTGCTTTGAAGGAGGACCTTGCTCTTTTCTTTGGCGTGACTGTGCTTGACTATGTGGATTTCGTGAGCCAGTACAGGAACGAATCTGCCATATTGAAAAATGCTGAAGATCTCAAGATGTGTTCTGATAATAAGCTGACAGAGGAAGACAAGGAAAATGTGCAGAGTTTGGTGGTGAGTTCTCTGTGTGTCTGGATCAGAGCCTGTGTGCCCACCTGCTCACCACAGCTAAGGAATGGAGCGTGTGTTCCTCCCCAGCACTGCAGCTCCTCTGTGAATCCAGAAAGATGTCAGGAGAAAGGGGCAGGAAGGACTCTGGCTATTCAGCTCAGTCAAGCCAGACCAGACCCCCCAGGACCCCCGTCCCCATGGTACCGTTGGCCTTCATCAGGCTTTCTGGCCCGCCTCCCAAGTCCAGCTACATCGGTGCCTGGCACCCCTTCTCCAGCCCAGATCTATTATCCTAACTTTTCAAGTCTACCACCGCACCCCCAAACACTCATCATTTTTATTGTCACCTGGATTTCTGAGGTCACTGTGCAGAATCGAGGCATGGGTCACTCACTGGAGAATCTAGTTGAATCCCCTCTTATCCCTAGAATTGGTGGGATTGTCAACACCCGAGCTGCATGTCTCTGAGGGCATTATGTGACAGGAATCAGTTCATTTTGGGGCCACAACTGCCCGCAGGCTCACCTGGAGTCCTGCCAGGCCCTCCCCAGCTGCTTCTCCATTCTGCCCCACATGTGCCCATGGTGTGCCGAGGGCAGGTGGCTCTTCCCATCAGGCTGGATTGGAGGCTGTTTACAAGGCTCGCCCTGGTGTGGTGTGCTGGAGACAGAATGGAGAGGAGTCTCCCTGGGCCAAGTCAGACCCAGGAGCTGTTGCAGACAGAGTGCAGGTCCCTCCCAAGTGGTGTCCCGTGTATGACTGCTGAGATCTCCCTCACCTCTGATGTTTTGCCACCTTTCTCTTTGCAGGCAAAAATAGAAGCTAACCCTCTCTGTTGATGATTTCATCTTTGCCAGAAAACTCAAGGAAGTCACTCTCCTGCTCACCTGCATAGATGCGGCAAGCCCTACCCCTACCCTCCATGTGTCTAAAAACAGGGTTCCAACAATAAAAGCCTTGCAATTCACAGGGGAGCCTGCACCGTTTGGTTTTGAGGTTGGGCATTGAGTGGGTTGGGACATATCAGGGACAACCAGTTAGACTTTGAACTGTTCCTGCTGAATTGCAGCGCTGCCAAAATGCCCCTGCAGAACACATTAGGGGATGTAGGAGACCACAGTCACCAGAGTGTCTGTCACTCTCATGGGTCATGGTCCATAGGGCACATACATGACATCCTGGAATGAACTCCCCAGAAACATGGAACAGTGAAGGGCCAGAGAGGCCGAGTGTCTGCTGAGGATCACACAGGCTCCAGACAGCAAAATCTCTTCCTTCTTCCCACTACTTGGGTCAATGGCCAATTGTGTATGTATCGTGTGTGTGAGTTAAAATGCTCCTCTGGGCGTCTGGAACCATCTATAAAACCTGACCACAGCTGGGATGTGGGCGCTGTCTCAGGCTTCTGGGACCATGACTTACTTTGTTATTATATTTGTTTGGGGAAAGGGGATAAGTAATAGTGTGTGTGTGTGTGTGTGTGTGTGTGTGTGTGTGTGTGTGTATAAAGGTCAAAAGTGCTCTTTTGCCTTGCAGGTCCCGGGGCTTGAACTCTGGTTGCCAGGGTAGGGAACAAGTGCCTTTACCTGTTGAGCCATCTCCCCAGCCCCACAACTGACTTTGTAAAGGGTCAGTTCACACACATCTGAACAGAAATAAGGGAATACTATTAATGCCAATGTCATCAGGTGAACACAATCTTGGTTGCCTGTGTAATCTGATTTGTAGCATTGGAGAATATCTGAAATAAGGACTTTCTACACTTCTGTGATTGGCTGCAGTTCATTCCACGGCAATCACTGCACGATGTCCCTTGCTGCAGGAGCTAGACCAGGACATCCGGCCACCAGCGAGGCTGCTTGCCAAGTTTCTGTTCATACCCATGTTCCAACTTTAGGGTGTTCCCTCCCATGATGAGGGTCATGGCTTGAAAATACTACATTACTCAGAAGCCTCGGCACGTTGTTTCCTAGGCGACACTTCCTGCGTTGCTCTCCTACAGATATATGTTTAGGGGATCTGAGAATCTGAGTTTGTGCTACCTCCTCAGGTCAGGTAACTCAGAGACTCAAGGAGACTCGAGAATACACCGCCTAGATGACACCAGTACTGGACAGCACGGGCCAGCGGAACTTCGCTGGGTCCCAGCCTGTGCGGCTTCGCTCAGCTCCAAGTCTGCAGGTGGCTGCCGCCCTGACTAACTTGGCTTTGGCCCTGAGCGGAGCTTGCAGACCGCCCTCTGCTCATCAGAGGTCAGCCCCTACCCAGGTCTTTTCAGCCTCACCAGGCTGGCATGGACTGGGCTGCCTGGTTGGGGGAGGTCCCGGTCTGTCACCCCTGCAAGGGAGGCTCGAGAAGTTTTCTCTACAGCAAGATCCACGTATTGAGAGATGTGGAGATGCAATTCTGGAGAGATGGGAGACTGAGCGGATGAGCCCAGGGACTTTGATTCTGAGGGCACTGGTGCAATGGAGAGCTGGAGACTATTATTTGTGTATGTGTGTGTGTTTAGCTCGAATGTATGTCTGTGCAGGTAATGTTGAGCGCCTCGGGAAACCGGAAAAAGGCTTATGTTCCTGGAGACTGAAGTTATGGACGATTGTGGGCTGCCATGTGAGTGCTGGGAATCGAAATGGAGCCCCTGAAAGAGCAACCAAACTCTTAACCACCGAGCCAACTCCACTCTTTTATACCTACAAACGAAAAGGAGTCTTAAGTCAATGGAAGGAAGGAAATGCTGTCAGGTGAAGTGGAAAGGTTGGCTGGATAATTTATTGAAAGTAATGTTAAGAGATAGGTTTGGGCCGTGCCCTGGTGATGCACACCTTTTAATCCCAGCACTCATGAGGCAGAAACATGCGAATTTCTGAATTTGAGACATGAGACCAGCCTTGTCTACAGAGGGTGATGGGGAAGGAGGCGGGGGCGAAGAAAAGGAAAAAAAGTAAGAAAAGTAAAAAGAAAACAAGTAGATTTGGGGCGTGTTAAATCTGAACTGGTCTAGAGAACTCTGTGTGAAGGCATTGAGTGTATGTCCAGAGTTCAGAACAGAACTTCTGACTGGAGACTCCTATTTTGGTGACCTATATGTACATAGAAGTAGACAGGATGACCAATGAGAGAAGGAAGTTAGGGCAGCTCTGGCCCCCACCTTCTCTTCTCCTGCGAGGGTATGCATCGTCACAGTGGCATAGGTAGCTGCTTTGCAGTTGTTGGATAAACCGAGAGTAGAGGTTCTGTTTAAGGGAGTTTCTCTCATCACCACAGTAGGGCAGTGTGAGCTTTCAGGATGTGACCCTGGACTTCCTAGGAGGAATGGAAGCTTGTGGATGAGTCACAGAGACTTCTAACCATGATGTGGTGCTGAGTAACTTTGCCTTGCAGCCAGACTGGGTCAGTTCTCTGCACTTCCTCCACCTCCTGGCCTGTGCTCTTTCCCGTTTTCCCAGGAGCTACTCTGCTTCTCATGGTCATCTGTAAATCCTACTTCCTTCTTGGTTTTCTTGCATAGGTGCTGTGGGTGGCAAATGGGCTGAGTACTTGCTTATCTCATTCAGCTACTCTGGATAGGAGTCTTCAAAGACCCAGAGATCCACCAGGCAGTTCTTCCTTCGCCCTGGCAGAACCTCTGACTGAAACTGTTCCTCCTGCCCGCATCTGCCACTCCCCACCTGCTGACATTTTTGTCATACCTGATTTCAGAGACCAATGGGCTCTCCCTCATTTTCTCTCTCTCCAGTACATGCTAGGCAAGTGTTCTACTGCTGAGCTGCATCCCCAGCCTTTAAAGATGCCTTCTCATTGCTGGTTTCCTGTCTAACGCTATGTAGGAGCAGGGTCACCTGTTCTGTACTGTCTACTTTACCTTCATTATCCTCTGAATAGAACCTGTGCCTCCCAGGATTCATGTACTTGTCCAGCTGGAGGAACAAGCCTGGGTGACTGAAGGGGCAGATGTGACCCCAGGTCTAGCAAGACAGTCCTGGAAGGGGACTAGCTCTGGAAAGCGAAGAGTGAGGGCCATTGCATGTCAGGGCTGGCTTGTCATAGGTACCAGGAACCTCCCCTCTGCATTAGTATTTCTTACAAATGACAGAAACCATGACTCATTTCATTCGATCACCACGCATCCCTTACTTTTTGATGATTTTCCAAGCCAGCTCTGGGTTTTGGCTTGGGTGAACCAAACCTCTCAGGCCAATTCCTTTCATGGCTCCATCTGCAGTGTTCTCTCACAATGAACTACCTACTCAGTGTGGTATGGATGTCTATGTAGTCTGTGGGCCTGTTCTGGGTTGCCGTTCCATTTCCTGGGTGTGATGGACCCTAGCATCTCATCAGTGCTCACACCCCATCAACAGAAAAGCCTTGCTGAAAGCCATCTGCAGAGACGTGAGTCAGAGGCTGCCTGTCCTTCCTGAAATGCCTACCATCACTGTCTTTGCCCTACTCTGCAGTTCCCTGTGTGTGACATGGCCATGGTCAATACAACAGAAGTTTTCTCTTGATAACTTTTGCCAATAGCCATTAAAGAGTGTCATGTATGTATTCTTAGAAATGTAAGACCTGCATTTTAAGTGGGGACATTTCCTAACGAGAGGTTTCCATTTCCTTGGATATTTTCTATTTTCAGGTTTCTGATTTCAAGTGGAGACCGAGGCATATTTTCAAAGAGGATCAAAAGTCAAGGTTACCACAGCAGATTATGTCATGCAGAAATCCTACCCTGTGGGATGTGTGGCATGGTCATGAAACATCTTGTTCTTTAGGCTGAACAGCAAGGTTACATTCCCGACACAAACTGCATACGTGTGGACATGGGGAAGGCAGTTCTCCTTCAGTGTAAAAACCTACCAACCCCAGCACAGTGGAAGGAAAGGTCTCAGTGACGACGAGGACAAGGATCTCTGTGTAAAAACCACACAGTCTCCAATGCAGAAATCCCTTAGCTATGTGAAGAGGGTAGGGGAAACTCAGGTCTTCTCCACCATGAGACCAGAGGAGCTTACCTGTACACTATGGATGCTGGGGGCCCTCTCAGTGGAGGTAGACATTGTGGATGCAGGGAATGTGGGGAACATTCAGCCACAAAAATGGGCTTCCTGAGCACCAGAGTATCCAGACTGCAGAACAGCCCTATAAGTGCCCTGATGTGAGACACGTTCATCAGACGGTCCCATCTTGTCAGGCATCAGAAAGCTCACACTGAAGAAAGGCTCTCTGCATGTCATGAATGTGGAAAAACCTTCACCCAAAGATATTCCCTGTTCAGCATGAATAGTTCCACCTTGGGGACAGCCCATATTCCTGCAGCAGATGTGGGGAGGCCTATCACAGACAATACTTACTTCTTCAGCACGAGGCAGTAAGTTCAGCAAGTGTGGCAAGTTCTTCACCCAACACTCTGGCCTTATTGTGGATCAGAGCCGGGTACACAGTGTAGCAGGTGCCGGTGCATGCAATAACTGTGCAGAATGCTTTAGCCAGAATTCTGACCTTGCCATACACTGCACAGTTCACATAACTACACCCACACCCGCAGCCAGGCATTATTAAAAAAAAAAAAAAAGAATGTGGAAAAGCCTTCACCTACCAACACAGACTTGGTCAACATCAGCGAGATCACACTAACAAAGGCTTCATGAGTGTACTGGCTGTGGCAAAGCCTTTAGCACGAAGTGCACACTCGTTGAGCATCATAAAAACCACTTCACAGGAAGTCCTCATGAATGCAGAGAATGTGGAAAAGATTTCCAACAAAGTTGTAATCTTCTCCAACATCAGAAAATTCATATAAGGTCAAAATTTAATTAGTATGACGTGTAAGAAATTATTTGGC